GAGTCTTTTATGAAAATAGACCAACTTGACATTTTTATGTGCATGGGTGTTTGGTCTGCATATGTGTCTTTGTGTCATGTGCATGCAAGCTCCCTGATGGCAGAAGCAGGCATCAGGTCCCCTGGAACTGGAGTTCTAGATGGTTGTGAGCTACCATGTGGATTCTGGGAATCGAACCCAGGTCCTCTGGACGAGCAGCAGTGCTCTTAACTGCTGAGCCACCTCTCCAGCCTGAAGTTACAAGTATTTTCTCCTGAAGTAAAAAGCAGCTTTCAATAGTGGTTTTGTCTTCTCAGCGTGTTCCTGTTGAACACTGTGCCCTTGAGGAGCATGACTTGGGAGGTGGTGACTATACTTATCTCAGTCACTCCAAATAGTTTTTAGAAAGTTCTTCAGCTTTTACTACTACTTTCCAGCTTTTCTTACCTCCAGTCATTGTTACTTCCTGGTGTTCTACCTTCTAGTTTCCCATGGAGAAGGTCAGGTTGAGATTCCAGCCTCTCTCAGTACAGACACAATGGATCTGGATAGAAAGGGAGACTGGACTCTGGACCCTAGTGATCTCTAGACCACCATTTCCCAAGCTGAGTTTTGCAGAACAGTCATGTTCCATGTTTACTGATAAAATACGATGTCGTAACTAATCACCTCCAGGAAATGCTGCTTTAAGATTATTCAAAGCTGGCTTCTTTATAGTATAACTTTACAGTCTTTTTTTTTTTTTTTTTTTTTTGGTCTTTCGAGACAGGGTTTCTCTGTGTAGCTTTGCGCCTTTCCTGGAACTCACTTGGTAGTCCAGGCTGGCCTCGAACTCACAGAGATCCGCCTGGCTCTGCCTCCCGAGTGCTGGGATTAAAGGCGTGCGCCACCATCGCCCGGCTTTACAGTCTTTTGATAGGCTATGTACTGACATTCTCGAAAGTGGAGTATCTTGTGCTGTTTTGAAGTATCTTGACATGTGACGTATATTTGAACTCCAGTGTCAGGTCTGGTCTGGTGTCTGTCTGTCTCTCTCATCTCTGTCTGTCTTCTTCTCTCTCTCTCTCTCTCTCTCTCTCTCTCTCTCTCTCTCTCTCTCTCTCTCTCTCTCTCTCTTGTGTGTGTGTGTATGTATGTAGGTTTCAGAAACTTGTTATCTTTGAGAGCACAGAGGGGGAAAGGTTCTAACCATTTTTTATAGAACCATGCTGTGGTGTGCCGATGGGCTTCTTGGTATTCTGTAATATTTACTGTAGCTGGCCCCCTGTAAAACAGTCTCTGTCTTCTTCCTGTATCCTAGTGCAGGTCGAATCCCCTTCCTGCCTACCGTGTCTGCGCTAGAGACAGGGCCACCCCATGCTGACTGGTGTGACTTTTCATTTGTGGCTGTCAACACCAGCTGGGCCCTCAGTCCTTGCCTCTCTCTCCTTGTCTACTCCTCCAGACTACATTTCCTTCTGACTTTCTCCTCTCTCAGACTTCTTACACTCTAACTCTGTCCCCTCTCCAAACAGATGTTTCCTTTCTTATTTAACTGAGAAAAAAAAACAGTGAGAAGAGACGCCTTCCTCCTGCACCTGCCTTGGCTCACCTTCCCGCTCTCCGCCTGGCTGACTAGCTCAGCTGCTCCCCTGTCCCCCCTCCCCCCACTGACTCCTTGACCTCTCCTGGGCACCAGTATATCACCCTCTCTGATGAGTCCTTCTTACCGGTGCACACGCGAGGGAAGAGAAGTTCGTTTTAAAACCCGATGTAGCCTTAGCATGTGGGATGCCCCCGTCACGGGGGTTTGTTCAGCAGCTATTTCTTTTTTAACTAATGTATACTTCTTGCCTTGTTTAAAAACAAAACAAAACAAAACAAAACAAAAACCCAACTTTTATTTTCAAGTAGTCTTAAACTAGAAAATAGAAAATCCCCATATATATCCTGTTAGGTTTCAAACCTGGGATAATGGCTGAAGTGCCTATTTAACATATCAAAGCAGGTGCTGGCCTCCAGGTTCTCCCTGAATTCCTCAGTCCCTTATGGGGCACTCATGGCTGGCGGCCCCTCCCCATCCCCTAAATGTCTCCAGCCCAGGGGCTGGGCTGTCCTTCCCACAGATGCTCCCCATATAATCCAGCAGTTTTGGTTACCTCTCCTCTTTGGGGCCTCCTGGCTGCTGCACCTGGTTCCCCTCTTTCTCCTCCCCCTCCCCGCCCCGCTCACGTGGCTCAGGGTCATGTCCACTCTGGACTCTCCCAGATGTCCCTGCCTCTGGCTATGCTCTCCCACATATATATATATAATAAACCTTCTCCTCCACCAAACCTAGGAGCAGTCATGTCCTTCTTAATTTCTTTTTTTCATTCATCTGGTCCTGAAACCTGGGACCAGTCATGTCCTTTCCTTTTTCGTTTCTTTTTTTCATTCATACCCCACCCCGTGTCTTTCAATTTTCCAACTTCAGCAGTGAAACAAATCTTCGCTTTTGCTCTCTGATGCCTCACTCTGCTGCTTCCATTTGTAACTGGGCGTCTTAAGTCTGCTGTCACTGTCTCCATCACCTCCTCTCCGTTCTCTCTGAACCCCATTTGTTCTCGCTTTTGGGCTGTGCTCTTGCCGCTGATCCTAGAGACCTTTCTGCCGACAGGTCCCGTGACCAGCCCTCGCTTCTCCCTTGATCTGTAGCCATTGCATCCGGCTGATTGCTTCTGTTACTTCACTTTCTAGGCATCTGACATGGGCTTCGCCCCCTTCTCTCTCTCTGGATTGTCTCAGGTCTGCTCCTGGATTAAGTATCATCCCAATTGCTGATAACTCCCAAATGGATACCAGGCCCCCAATCTTCTTTCTGTGTGAACGTTAGACTTTCATGTCCATGATTTATTTGACATTCTTTCTTGTTTGTCTAACACGTTTTTGCTAATCATGCCGACAGCAGGAGTGTTCAGTCACCACTTGGGATGTCCCAGCTGTTGCTAACAGCCATTCCTAGCCCTGGAAATGGCCCCTACATTCTTGTTACCTATGCCCAGAACCTTGTAGTGTCCCGACTTCCTCTCGATCACATCCTATATTCAATGTACTGACAAATGCTCTTAGTTCTATGTTTAGATTGTTCATCTAAACCCGATCACTGTTTTCACGACCTCCTCTGTGGTCCAGGTCACTGTGATCCATTTGTGTCCCCTTGTAACTGCCTCTTGCTTCCAGGAAGGATTACTGTTTGCATAATAGTTAAAATTCTCCCTTTAAAACACAGATCAGGCTAAGATACTCCTCTGCCTAACACCCTCCGCAATGTTTTACTTCAGTCTTGATTAAAATCCTCCACTTCGTTATGTAATAAGTGGCCTTCCATTCTGACATCATCTTGTATTTTGTTTCCTTCAGTCTGTCCTTCCCTGTCTGTGATACAGCACTCCTAGGATCCCCTCATCAGAACCCTTGGACTTGTCTCTACCCAGGATAGTTTCCTCTCTATGTTCGAGTGCCTCACTTCTCTCTTTCAACACATCCTTCAAGTATTTGCTCAAATATTGCCTCATGAGAGGCTAGACTAGCCTCTATAGAGGAGCGCCTTTGGAGTCTCCACCTATGCCTTTACTTCACGTGTCTGCTCTCCTCTGTGCCAGCCATAGCTCATAAATTTAGGCCTGTGATGGCTGCAACGGTACTGAACACGTGCAAGCTTAAAGTAATATAATCGCCCGTAACACTTCGGTAATATTTACATCGTACTAGCTATTTTAAGTAATCCTGGGGTGATGCACATACAGAAGATCCAAATGTCACACCGTTTTATATAAGGTTCTTGAGCACCTCTGAATTGTTATCTTCAGGGATCCTGGGCTTTTATTTCTACAGTTCCTTTCTCCAAGGCTGTAAGTGCCACAGAAACAAGGACTTACACTTAATGTACGGTGGCCATTTCCTCAGGGTCAGTCCAGTGCCTGGCAATCAAGTTTGGACATATTGTCCTCACTTGACACTTAAAAGAATGAGTGAGCAGATAAATGGGTGAAATACATTGCATGCCGAGGTAGGGAATTCTTAGAACGAGTGGGGTGAGGAGCAAGGAATCCAAAGCACCAGCATTGTGTGCTGATAGGAAGAATCTGTACTTAATTATAGTGAGGATGATGGGCCAGAGAAAGCAACAAAGGGAAGAAGCGCCTCGTTTTATACTCTGGAATCTGCAATTCTAAGGAGTAACTGAGATAGCATGCTGTTACCATTTCTGTATTTGTTTATTTGCAGGGGACCTTCTGTTAGTCTATGGTATCTAGAAGCATTCCACACTCCCGTTATAGGATAAGGCCATTTATACTGTGTGTGTGTGTGTGTGTGTGTGTGTGTGTGTGTGTGTGTGTGATTTTAATTTGCAGGAAGCCTCTGCAGCCGTAGATTCCTACATGGAGTTCTAAAGTTCTTTAGCGCTAGTTAACCTTCCCTGTTCTGTTACCCCACCCCCGCCCTGCCCCCCCTGCCCCCCCAACTCCGTTTAACCCTCCTAGCTCTATTACCCACTTTCCTCTTCACACCACACATGTTCTGTCCTCGAACACTGCCTTTCCCACGGCCCCTTACAAGTTTCCTGATTTTTGTAGGTACTCTAGCATGCTGGTTTTTGATAGTGACCATGAGCCTTAGATATGCTAAAATAATTTTAGCTTTCCTTTTACATAGTTTATTTTCTCCCATGATGCTTCTAAAGGATGCTCTCTTGGTACTTTTTCTGCATTTGAAGTTTTAGACTTTAACAACATTTTTTTTCTTGAGAAAATAAAACTATAGTGTCAAATCCACATGATATTTATCTAGCAAAAATACACTATATGTGTGAAAACTTCATACATATATTTATATGAAGGATGAAAGATCCTTTAGAATTTTTTTTTCAAATTGGATAAATTGTAATAAATAGAACTCTTGAATGTGTTCATAATTGCTAATTAATTTTCCTCTTAAAACTTTCTCACAGTATTTGCCTGTCTCTCTAATAATTACAGCTTTTTCATTTATATAACTTGCAGGTGTGAATCATCCAGTCCACACATTCATCCCGTCGGTTGGTGTAAAGAACATAGAAGAACCCTTATTACTCCACCAGGTTTGGATTGATAATGTGCCTATGTTTTTCATATACTTGAACAGTGGACCATGTTTTTCTGTAAAGAGCCAGATAATAGATACTTTTAATTTGGTGTGTCCTGGAGTCCCTGTCACAATTGTTCGGCTCAGTCGTAGCGCGAAAGCAGCCATAGGAACTGAGATAACACATAAATGTGCGTGTTGTTGCTGTACTTTACGAAGCCCTGCAGCCACTGCTGGCCGAAACTCTGACCCCTGATAGAGCCTCATACTTTAAATATTGGCGTCGTTTATCTCACAACCTTACATTGTCATCTTCTTTGACAAAGTTTGTAAAAATAGTTCTCTGTTTTCAACTTGAGAGTCGTTTTGGGACTTAATTATATTAGTGCACAGTTGCTAAACTTGGTCAGATAAGGAAAGTAGATGTGGTCTTGAAGGTGGAGCATGGACCGCATTGTTGAGGTCAGCTCTGGCAGGTGTGATGTTCCTGTTGAAGTGAGAGCTTGTGGCCTTAGACTTTTCTACTAAGTTCAGAGCGTACCCATTTGCTTTTGTTTATGTTGCTGTGATTTCTGGTTCCGCCGTAGGTTGCTGCAGCTTGTGCTAGCTAGTATCTCTGTTCCCTGAAGCTTTTGGGGGCTTGTCTGCCAATAGTGTGGAGCCTTCTTATTTTACTCGTTTTCTCTTTGACAAGAAACAGTATAACTGCTGATGAACAGTGTCCTTGTGGTTTTACAGGCTAAAAAACAGATGCATCAGCGTCATCATAATAAGGACTGTTTTTGAACATGTCACTGTTGAAAGTATCATGCTCCCTACAGGTAGGAAAAGGCAGGGTCATCAGGTGACATGAAGCCCTACTGCTCCAGACCTGGTGGCTCAGTGCATATTAGAGTAAAGCAGACCACCTTGATCACAGAGAAAAAAATGAGACCCGGGTTTCCTGGCAGCTAGTCTGTGGATGGAGCCTGCAGCATATAAGATCAGCCCCAGTTTGCAACTTCTCGAGATAGCTTCATTCCATTCAAACAGCTATCTATGTTTTAAGATTCACCTCCAGTTCCTTAACACTCAGTGCCACACTCAGAACACCTGATTACAAACGAGGGAACCAACCATTCCTATTACCTGCCTATCTAGTCCTTTTTACTGTCAAAGTTTTCGTGTGGGTGGAAGGGAAGAAAGGAGTGCCTATTTCCTGACTAATTTTCATGGCTAGTTTGAAGATGAAAGAGATGTAAGTAGCAAAGAGTTAAAGCAAAACATTAATAGTTCTGTGGCTCGAACCTGGAAGACGGCTTCGGCTGGTCCTCTGGCAGCACCATCATGCAACCTGCCGTGAGGGTTCTTGCTATTTCCCAGTTTATTATCAGTTCTCTCATACACACCACTATTTTTGTCATAAGCAGAGTCTGGTAAATAAACAGTGAACCAGTGAATAGCGGGTTCCTGATGCTGTCCCTGGGAAGGGATGTGTGTGGTGTTATTGCTAATTTCGTTTGTGAGACCCAAACCAGGTCATCCATCGCCTTTCATAGACTTCTGTGATGGAATGGAAGAAAACAACAATTTTTTTTTTTTTACAAGCTTTTAAAAGTACAGAACTGTATGGGAAAACGTCCAAGTATCAGAGTATGTTTTTAATGGCCCAGAACTGCACACCAAAGATGACGAAAATGATAAATTCAGTCTTACATAAATCTTACCACATTAAAAATAAGTAAAAGCAAAAATAAAAACAACAAATCCCAGTCAAATTATGAACCTAGTTTACCATGCCTGCACTTGAATGGTTCTTTACAGAAATGCACTTTCTCTTTGGTTCCTTTTCCTCTAAGGGCTCAGTCTTACCTCTTGTCTGAAAAGAAGGGTCTAACCATTCAGTTTCCTTGGACAACTTTTCTATCATCTTTATAATATCATGCACAGTCTGTCCATATCCTGACCAGTTCTCCTGGCTACACTGTGTTCGTGTATTATGTAAATATGCCTGTCTTTATTGTCCCTTCTTTGAAGTTAAAATCCTTGCCTTTTAAAAATAATTTTGAATACACACACAGACACACACACACACAAATACACAAATATGCACTTATAAATTGAAATCAAGAAACTGCATATGAAAGAAAATATGTGATACATGTCTTTCTGAGGCTGACTTATTTTACTCACATAGTTGTTGTTGGATGTTTTTTCTCTTTTACTCTCTTTGGGGTCCCACCACCCAGCTCCCAGATAAATCACACACGGAGGCTTATTCTTAATTACAAATGCCTGACCTTAGCTTGGCTTGTTTCTAGTCAGCTTTTCTTAACTGTAAATTACCCCATCTGTCTTTTTCCTCTGGGCTTTCTCCTCTTCTTACTTCTGTGTATCTTACTTTCACTCTTACTCCATGGTTTGCTGTGTAGCTGGGTGGCTGGCCTGTGGAGTCCTCCTCCTTCTCGAGCTACTTCTTCTTCTTTCCCAGATTTCTCCTTCTATATATTTATTTTCTCTGCCTGCCATCCCTGCTTATCCTTTCTTCTACCTCACTGTTGGCCGTTCAGTTCTTTGTTAGACCATCAAGTGTTTTAGACAGGCACAGTCACACAGCTCCACAAAGTTAAACAAATGCAACATAAACAAAAGTAACACATCTTAAAATAATATTCTCCAACACATAGTGATCTCTGTTTCCACCCATTTTCCTAAGACTGTCATAATTTTATTTCCTCCTTAGCTGAAATTCCACTGTGTATACCTGCCATATTTGCTTTATTCATCTGACAATGGACCTCTAGGCTGGTTCAGTATTTGGGCTAAAATGGGTAGTGTTGCTCTAAACACAATGCCTGTGTCTCTGGCAGCCAGACTTGTACTTCTTCCAGGTTTTAAAAGTACAGAACTGTACATGGAGTAAGGGTGGCTTCACCTCATAGTAGTTCTATTCATAGTTTGTACAGGAACCGGTGGCACACTAATTTCCATCATGGCGGTGCCAGTGTGTATTCCCACCAGCAGTGTGCAAGGATCTGTCTTATTCTCCCCAGTATTTCTTGATGCTTATTTTATTGATATTACTCATTCTGACATTAAGGTTTTTAAGGGCCTTATCTGAATCTATTAATTTTTACTGTAGGGTGAGAGATGAGGACCTATGTTCATTCTTTTATGTTTTGAGAACTTTTATGTCTCTGTTCACCAGGAAAATTGGTTCATGCTTTTTTTCTTGTGTGTGTGTGTGTGTGTGTGTGTGTGTGTGTGTGTATGTTTACCAGGTTTTGCGAATCAGAGTGTTGGCTTCATGGAGTGAGTTGGTAGTGGTGCGGCAGTTTCCCGAGTGAGCTCTTCTTAAAAGATGTGGAAGAATTAGCAATTCATCCGCTCTGGGCTTCCTCTGCTGGGAGGCTGTGTGGCTTCTTCGGTTGGTAGCTTGTGCGTTTGTTTGGTTGTTCACAGCTTCTTCCTTTCATTTCAGGAACTTACACATGTCTCAGATTTCCCCCCTAGAAGTCCCTTGTCTTTTGTGTTTGTTTGGAGTATGCACTCCAAGGTTTCACTAATAATTCTCGGGATTTATTTGTAGTTTGTTCTTAGCTCTTTGTTTTCACCTGTAATTCTATTATTGTGGATCTTCATTCTCTTCTGGTTAGTTCTGCTAAAAAAAATTGTCAATCCAGTTTAATTTTTTCAAAGAACCAGCTCTGCTTGAGTGGTTGACTATATTGTTCCTCAGTTTCCATTTCATTAATTTCTCCTGGGATCTTTATTATATCTTGTACTTAGCACATTGGAGTTTTAGTTTGCTTTTCTCTTTCCAAGCACTTACGGTCTATCAGGTAATTTATTTGGAATGTTTCTGAAGTTTTTTGAAGATTTATTTATTTATGTATTTTATGTATGTGAGTGTTCTATCTGCATATGCAGTCATTAAATATGCTGTAAAATGCATGTGTGTGTGTATATAGGCTTGCTATTTCCTTTCTAATTACTTTGAGACATCCTCCGGTGGAGAGAAGTTTCAAGACCACTTCCAAACTCATTTGTACTTCCACTTGAGCCAGAGACTCACCCAGATCTGACAGCTGTCCCCACAATGTCCTTTATGCAAAAGCACCTGCCATTGCTGCTCAGCTGCAGACGTTTCTGGTCCCCAGTTAGACTCTTCTTGACAATTACAATCTTAGTAGGCGTGAGACTTACGGACTAATCATTTTGTACAGAGTGATGTCACTTGAGTAGGATGGACGTTTCCTCATGACTGGACCCACGTTGTACATTTGTTTGTTTTGTTTTTTGAGATGGTCATACCAGGTAGGCATGCTGGCCTGGAACTCACTATGTAGACCAGGTTCGTCTCAAAGTCACAGAGATCCACCTGCCTCTTGAGTGGTGGGACTAAAGGAAAGCACACTTACACACATCTCCAAGTTGTACTTTTTTTTTTTTTTTTTTTTTTTGAGAATATCACAGTGTTTTTATTATAATCCTTTCAAGGGCACAGCATTTCAGTCTTTTTTTTTTAAAACCATGAATTAATCAAGGAGATATTTACTAGTCTTTTCTACCAATACTTTTTTCTCGAAGTCTTTGAGATTTTGCAATTACTTCCCATCTCATCTGTCTTTCAGTAGTTATACCGTATGCTAATATTTCTATTTGGAACTAATTGCTGTTCTAAGTTGACAAATGTTAATGGGTAATGGTAATTTTATTCCATCTTATTCCATCTATTTTTGTATATAATTAATTGATATTCTTCTGCAAACATTAGCTTTTTCATTTCCCAGTTATTCATCTGGTTAATGTATTTAGTAGAACTGTAGATTATTAACTGTATCCGAGAGTTTATTGTTGATTTCATGTAGGTAGTTGTTTCAAAGATGTACCCAGTAGGAGCTCTTTTAAGCTGGCTTCTACCTTTTTCACACACTTGTCTTGGTTTCTGCAAACTGCTGTCTGGAACAGCTAAGGGTATCGTATACTCACTTGTCTTGTCCCAGCCCTATAGCCGTTCTTTCGAAGACTTTTTCTTTTTCTTTTTTTTTTTTAAGTGGAGAGTGCTATTTAGAAACCTGATCTGGTTGCTATTTGCTCAGTGCTAGTAGGGTGATGCTCCTACCAGGAACTCAGTGACTGTAGGAAATATACATCCTTAAGCATATGAAGGAGAACTTTATATTCTTTTCTATTTTGGCACTAGTGTGTGTTAAAACAATCCTCTTAGAGATACCATGGGCCCTGATTGACATCTCAGAACTATTGGCTTCATTTTAGTTTTCTTCTGTCCATGTTTATACCTGTTTCTCAGTTGGGTAGAAACCTGACTTCCATCATAACTAATATATTTGCGGATTTTGTAAATCCCCTTTCTGTGGCAAATTTTGCACCCTAATAAGCCACTGTTGTGCCTGCCTAATGGATTTGGGGGCTCTAGAGGAAACAAAAGGCAGCAGGGAGGAGAAGTGGGGTTATTTTTACACATACTTTAAAAAATACTCTGTGATATAGCCGTGTTTCTTTATTGAGCCTAACAAAGGAGGAGTTATCTGAAATATTTCATAAATAGTACTTGTAAACCCCATGTGTTATTTCACCATTTTAATAAAGCTATTTCCTATAACCTCATCTAAAAAGTACAAAAGTCAGAATCAATGGTAAGAATGGAACTAATCATTGTGAACATGCTCTGGAGGAGCGTGTTTTCCTGGGGGCGGGCGCCTTCTTTCCTGGGTTACACTGCTGATCTGTCATGATTTTTCTAGGACAGTTGGGATTCTGACTCCCCTCTGCATGACACCCTCATAGGATTCGTGTTTTTCTTTATTTCCCAGGCTATTCACACATGAAACACTTTTCTTGGGATAAGTACTTAGAAGAAACCAATTCTTTACCTGCTCCTGCAAGAGCTTTCAAAGTGGTGAGAGAGTTTGCTTTGTACTCCGTCATTTGTGGGTGTTGAGGATGCCGTTTATTCACGAACACTTCAGAAACCAAACTGGTCTCCAAGCTGACTTCGGAATGAGAAGAAGCAGGAGGCCAAAGAAGATACTTTCAAAGTGTTTCAATTTTGAAAGTCAGATTGTTCCTGTGGTTTCTGTACGTGTGGATGCACGTGTGTTGGGGAGGCAAGCATAGGGGTGGATGCCGAAGAACCTTGAATGTTGTCCCTCCGATACTGTTCACCTTGGCTTTTGAGACAGGGGGTTTCACTGGCTTGAAACTTACCAAGTAGTTTAATTTGCTGGTGTGAGGCACAGGGATCTGCTTCCCTCCACCTCCCTCCCTGGGATCACAGGTGCACCACCATGCCCACTTTTGAAGTGTGGATTCTAAGGAGCAATCTGACAAGGCAAGCACTTTACCAACTGAACTATTTCCCAAGCTCCTCAAATATACTGCTTTATACTTGATATTTTCTCATGAATTTATGGGGAAAATAAATATACTAAATAGCTTTGTAAGACTCAGGCACTGGACACATTTGTCAGCCTAATATTTGAGAGGTAAATGAGGAACCCCACAATTCAAGGCCAGTCCAGGCTATGTATGAAGATCCTGTTTCAAAATAAAATACCATTCTTTTAAACATGACCCTGTCTTCTGTAGACAATTTTCTTCTTTAGATGATACTTTTATGCAAAAATTGCTAGAGTTTTTAATAGTAGACTTAATTAGTAAATATAGTTTAAGGTAGAAAGAACATCATGAATGTTAAAGAGAAAAGCCATAATAAGTAGAGAGAAACTTTGTGAAAGAATTTCTATGATTCCACCTAAAGGTTGTTCAGGCTTTTGAGTAAGACTGAGGGGTGCCGTATTTGCTGCCTCTTCTCTACCCTTCCAACATGCAGGTTTTTAACCTGGATACAGAGGCAGCAGCAGCATCAGGCTACATGTCTGCTCTTCTATGAGAGGTAGAACTAAGATTTCTCCAGCTTGGCCGCCAAGAATTCTTGCAGCAATTCTTCATGTTATTTTATATAACTTACCAAAACCATATATAATATCACCTTATTTGCCTCTGCCCACGGCTTTCTCAGAGACGGAACGGTTTCCTCTTAGTGTAAAGCTTTCTTTCCTAGAGATTTGAGTGTGCTGAGCCCGACTGCAGATCTACGAGGATGCTGGCTATTAAGAGATGCGAGCATTTTGAACTGGGAGGTGATAAGAAGAGAAAAGGCCAAGTGATCTGGTTCTAAGCCAGTTTGTTATGAAGACAATAAAATCATGACCTTTTACTCACCTCAAAAAAAAAAATCATGCCTATTGACTGATATCATGAAACTTCAACCCATAAGGAAAATGTCTAGTCTTCCCTGTGGCTGATCAAATAAGTAGCTATGGTACCTTTGCCTCTGCCTTTCTGTCATCTCTTCAGCTGGGCACACAGGCTGCCCTTTGCATGTGTATTGAGCTGTGTGTTTTGACCCAAAAGTGTCACTCAGTGCTAGTCTAAGAACGGGTAGCCTAAACGATTCAACTGTTGGTGGTTGTTGTTGTCCATCAACCTGCTCTTCCTCACAACATGACATCTTTCTGTTCTGGCAGAAACCTCCACATGGATTCCAGAGAAAAATGAAGCTTGAAGCGGTAGACAAAAGAAATCCCCTGTTTATCAGAGTAGCAACTGTAGCGGATACCGACGACCATAGGATAAAAGTAAGTGTTCTTGGTCCTGGGTTGGCTTTGACCTTTGTTACTCTGTATCTTAAAGGGAAACTTTGCTAGACAGTATACTTGAGCCCTGTAATTAAATTACTAAAACCATGGGAATATGCAAAGTGGCTTTGCTGCTTTGAAGATTTGCATTCATCCAAGTGTTTCCTTTAATTGCCCTGAGCTATTTTTTCTCAAATTATGAATGACAGTTTCATATTTTGAATGTGTATTTCGAGAAAGTAGACATAACGTGTTATGGTAACATTCTCTTCAGAAGAAAAAGAAAATAAGTACATTGTGCTCCAATAGTGCCCTCTTTTTAAGCGGTTACATTTTTTTGTTGACTCCATTAGATGTAGTTTATAAAATGTAAGTAATTATAAATAATTTTATAAATAAAACCAGATTTTTACTGGAATTGGATTAATAAGCATCAAATACCTCTCTTAAAGTAAGCCAGTGTCTAGAAAATATTACTAGTTCCATCCACATGTGGTATCAGTGTAGTGGTTCCAATGCAACGCCCAAAGGCCCCACAGGCTTCTGGTTTTACCTCTAATTTCTCTCTTTGGCCAGAATCATACCTGTCCTACTTTTTTCCTAGCTAACTTTTCTGTTAGGAATAATAACGCCTCTAAAAACAGCAAGTCATTATCAGCACATCGTAACGAGTTTCTTGGTGCAGTCATCCTGGACATTTGTAGTGGCTTCCGTGGGGGCCGTGGAGGCCATTATCACTGTGTCGATGAGGCCGAGACTAGGGCAGATATGAGGAAGCACTTTATTCAGTACTAGAAAGGAAAGAACCCTCAGTTCCATGCAGCAGGAATCTTAACTTCAAGTTATTTTTCAAAATAATAATAAATCATTAGCTATTTCTAATGAGATAATTGATAAGTGTTTAAAATAAAATGAAAAGTTATACAAATTGTTATTTCCGTATAATAGAAACTTTAATGTTTAACTCAATATGTTTAAGATCCAATCAGTCCAGTCTGGTATGGTAGCACATACCTGTAATTCTAGAAATGGAGAGGCAGAAACCAAAAGACCCTGAGTGTTGGCCAGCCTGCATAACCAGACTCTGCCTCAGAGCCAAACAAAAGATGATATAATCATAAATTTTGGGAAATCATATAAAAACTGTGTGTATGTTAACCATTTTGTAGTGTACTTTCCTTTTTTTTTTTTTTTTAAAGACAGTGTTTCTTTGTGTAGCCCTAATCGTCCTGGACCAGGCTGGACTTGAATTCAGTGATTCACCTGCCTCTGTCTCCCGAATGCTGCAATTAAAGGTGTGTGCCACCACCACCCGGCATTCTAGTGTACTTTTTTATTCATTATGGTTGGTTGTGATGTGAAAATTATAAAGGAATTAGTGCCTTAGAACAAGAGTTTTAATAAACATCTAGTAACAAACCAGTTTTAGTAAACCAGCAGTCAAAAAAGTGTCAAGGATAATGTGGTTGTTACACCAACTTGTTCAGTGTGCACAATGACAACTTTTTAGTTTGGGAAATGAATTTACCCTCCCATCACAGTGGGTAGGAATATAAAGCATCCAAGTTCTTCCAAAGAGTACGTTAGCATCAAAATATTCGAACGGTGTTTCTCCTTTAAGAATTTTGGTCCCGATTGCTTGGGGAAGTAAGCAGAAGGAATGTGCAAAGACAGAGGCTCAAACCAAAGAATGTACAGCCACACTGTAACACTAAACACTGCGAACAAGCCCAGGAGTTGATGGGAAAAATAAATTACTATGCGTCTACATTACATTAATGCAGAATATTTCAACAGATCTAATATCAAGAAGCACAATATTCAGGTTTAAATTATTATGTTAAAATATTTGTTTTTTTTTTCCAAAAGAGCAAATTCGTAGTGAATTCCATAAAGAAATAAGCCAAAAATAATGACAGTACTAAGACTATAAAGTGTTAGGCTTTGTATTATTTTGAAATAAATTTATTTATTTATTTTTTTGCTTGTGTGAGAATTTTGATCCAGAGGAATGGAATACTGTGAGACGGTTTCCACTAAGGAATGGAAAAATTTGAGACTAGAGCCCATCCCTTCACTTGTTGCTGGACTCCCTATCTTATGCAACATCCTGCTAAATCCGTGGCACCCAAAGAGGAGCCCGCTGTGGCTGTGTGGAGGGTAATCATCTTTGCCCAGTTTTTAGAATGAATGTCACCAACTCAACTCAACCACTGTACAGATGTCTCACCTGCTTCTAAACACCTCAGAGGTCAGCTGACAGACAGGGACTGGGTTTCAGATTCAGCAGAGGTGTTGAAAAACCAAAAAGCATCCAGCAGTAGTTTTTCTTATAACTTGTGAGAAAATACCGCAAGTAGGATCATTTCTCTTTTGCAGAAAATGCCAAGGACGAGTGTGGTTTTGTATTTTAAGGTCTCGGGAATAAAGTCAACTCAAATAAGGTTGATTTTTAAAGTTATCCACTATCCACCATTAATGCCTTGAGCTTCTCTAGTGGTTAAGGTAGCTGTTCCTGCTAGGTGCTGTTGAAGGCAAGGACCAGAATGAATGCTCTCATCTACTGCTCTGGGGACAGGACATGAAATAGCTGCATCCCTCTTCAGTCACATCTGTCTGCCTCAGCTGTGTGTGACCGTTTGTCTCCAGTTTTCAAAATACTTTCTATGCACTGGTGTTTCTCCATTCAGTTTCCATTGTTGTTTTGAGACAGAACTTCACTACATAGCTCTGGATTTCCTGGAACTCACTATGTAGATCAGGCTGGCCTCAAACTCAGAGATCCTCTTGCCTCTGCCTCTTGCCTCTGTCAGGATTAAAGGCGTGCGCCACCACACTGGCTTCTCAGTTCAATTTTAAGTTGCTTTGTCTTCTTTCTAATGGACCTCAGGATTTAGATCTTGCCGTGTTTTGTTTTCGCTTGTCTGTGTTATTATTATGAATATACTACTCTTGTTCATTTCTAAGTCAAGTCTTTTTAAATTACTTTTTTCTTTGGTTTTCCTGTAGTCAATGATCTTTTTGTAGTTTGCTTTCCAACACTTTCTAGCTTCTTATTGAATTTTTTTTTTTTTTAGATGCTACAGTAGCTTTGATGTGTTTTGAATCAAAAGCATGAGTGTGTTTTTCAGCAGCTGATATCTATCTCTTTCGCTTGATCTGTTTTTCCCCCAGCTCTTCAGCGACCCACTACAGCAGAGTGGGTACTCTCAGCCAGGCTCACAGCCTATATCCTGAGACTCCTTTTGACTGACACACCAAACTGTTTCATTTTCCTGGAAATTACGAAGTTTAATGACACGACTTGTTTTACTTAGTGTACTTTGGTCCCGCTGAAACATGTCTTTTAGTGTTTTCCTAAGAAAGGGTATTAGAGAGAAATCTTTTCACTCCTTGCGTTTGAGAAAATGTCCATCTACTGGCTTTGTATTGACTGTCGGTGCAACTAGGTGAGGTATTCTAGGGAGGGAGCTTTTATCCTTAGTGCTGCGTTGTTCGGCATCTGACTCCTGTAGCTTTTGAAGACCCAAGGCCACTCTGATTGCATCTGTCTGGGCCATGGGCTTATTTCTGCAGCACTTGGGGGATGTCTGTCTCCGGGGGGGGGGGGGTCTCAAGCTCTGTGACGGCCTCTTTCTGTTTGTCAGACTAGGTCCTCATGTCTTCCCACTGTGGAGCTCTCTGTCCTGCAGGCTCTGAAATCATCTGCTTTTGCTTTCTAGCTACCTTGTCTCTGCTCTCTTTCTGGAAGTTGCTGCCTTGATATCGGCTGTCGGGTTGACGCACTTGTTTTTGTAGGCATTGCTGATGTTCCAAAATTCTGTTTGCTTAGAACTATGTTTATCTCTTTTTTCAAACTTTCTATTGCATTTTTAATTACAATTATGATTTTTTGTGTGTGTGCTATTCAGGAAATTTTTTAAAAATGTTATTTAGTTTGTTCTTCTTTTTAAAAGCATCTTTTTATTTCCTGAAGCAATATTGCTTCTGTCTGAGGACACTGCTGATAGTTTTTCTTCTCTTTCTTGATTATTTTCTTAAATTATTCATAAAATATTATTATTATTATTTTTTTTTTTTGGTGTGTGTGTGTGCAGGTGCCTTTGGAGGCCTGAGAACCACCTGATGTGGATGCTCAGAACCAAAGTCAGGTCCTCTGCCAGAGCAGCAGATGCTCTTAACTTTTGAGCCATTGCTCCAGCCTCCCACATTGCTCCAGCCTTCCCCTTCCCAAATTTCTTGATTAACTAGCATGACTTCTGTCTTCATATTGATTCTCATGTGTTAGGTGATCCTGGGCATCTGTTCACATTAAGAAAAAGGTACAATATTTGAGGTGTTTTTGTGACGAGGCTTATATTGTTGTCTATATATGAATGGGTCTGTATTCTCTTGTCTATAGGAGCTATCTTCCATGATCCCTAGTGTATGCCTGCATCCACACATAAAATCCCATATGCACCGTAGTTTTATTTATGCGTACATATATACTGTAATAAAGTATAATTTATGCACTAGATATAGAAAGAGTAACAACAACAATAATAGAATTATAGCAGTATACTACAAAATGATGTATGAAACTGACCTCTCTCTTTTGATCACAATATGGAATTCTCCCTTTGACATTTTTACACCACAGTTGACCTCAGGCAACTGAGAACATAGAGGGTGAAGTCCTGGATAAGGAGGGGATGCTGTGTGACTTTTTTTTTTTTTTTGATATAGTATAGGAAATCAAGATACCAGCCTTTCCTCCTTAGTAAACCTCTTTTGTCAGCATCCAGGTCCTTCCCCTGGGGAAGGCAGAACCTAGGAAGTCATATCCTAGAGTTCAGGATTTTTCTCTGTTTCCTGAAAATCAAAATTCTGCTCCTTAAAAAGAGCATTACCCTGGTACATGTGGGGGCAGGCCTCCCCATGTCCTGACTACCTTGGGGAAGAAGAGGGCCTTCTCACACACAGTTTCCAGGATGAGTCTATGTTCTGGTCCTGACTCTACTTTTAGAAGCTACATTTCAACCATTTGTTCTGATGATGGAAAAGTACTTCCTTCACTTGTTTTTATCCTACAAACACGGGAGCCATTTCCCAGTCACATATGGCTTTAATATCAGAGGACAGAAGAGGCAAGCATCTATACCTAAAATGTGTTTTTCTGAATTACCTTTCAGATTCACAAAAGGTCCAACCAAATCTGTCCTTTAAAGAAATACTGTATTTTATAAAAATATAATATTAAAATTATCTGTAATATATGGGATGTTTTTATAAAGACTGAATTATACTTCTAGGTGAAAAGTGTATTCTTTTCCCTAAACTATTGATTTAAGTAGTAAAATTGTTGGTTCTGTACTTTGATCCATTTTCTTTAGGAATTTATTAGCATCTATTTTCTCTAGAAATTTAATAAAAAATTCAACATTATTAATGATTTATTTTTAATGTATTGTCTTAGTTATTTTTCTATTGCTGTGAAGAGACACCATGACCAAGGCAACTTTTAAAAGAAATCACTTAATTGGGGCCTTGCTTATAGTTTCAGAGAGTTGGTCTATGGCTATCATGAAGAGGAGCATGGCAACAGGTGGGCAGACGTGGTGCTTAAGCAGTAACAGAGAGCTTTTATTGAGAGAGAGAGAGAGAGAGAGAGAGAGAGAGAGAGAGAGAGAGAGAGAGATTGGGCCTGACATAGGCTTTTGAGACATCAAAACCCACACCCAGTAACATACCTCTCCCATAAGGCCGTACCTCCTACTTCCTCCCAAAACTGTTCCACCCACTACAGGGGCCATCTCATTCAAATCACCACATGTATGATAATGTCTGTAATGGGAGAGCATCATAGATATTCTCGTTTCTCTTTTGTTATGTAAGTTTCTCATGCTGTATGTTGACCTTGCACCTTATTATTCCTTTTTGGAGTTTAGTTTTCAGTCTTTGACAGTCTCATTCATGTATATGATTAATTTTAGTCATTGTATCCCTTTAGTAGACTTTGTCGTCCCACTTCTGCTGAACACTTATGTGAAGAGGCCCTCCTTTTATTGTCATGTCTTTTATGATATGTGACCCACTTGGTTGAAATAGGATTTCCTGCCTGAACATGGGTAGGAAGCTATTTACTCAAAGTAGGCAACTTATCAATGGCTATGTCACTGATGAGTGTGATACCCTTTCCGCCAGTAGATCTTCAGGGAGGGTAGGACTCCAACTTTTCTACTTTTTCTACCCCATGTTCCTCAGTATTCCCTGAGCCTTGGACTGGGTTGAAGAGATGGCCCACGTAGGGTCCTTTATTCTCAGCATCTTAGCTGGTTATGCATCTCATATTAACCGCTGCCTAGCACACTAAGAAGCTTCTCAGGTGCAGGCTGAGAGCAGCACGAACCTATGGCTATAAAAATGAGTATTGATAAGCAGTTTGATCAGATGTCCATTTAGCAAAATGGTAGTAATGAATGCTGCCCCTGGAGCCACCAGCTCTTGACCACATTTACAGTAATAGGCATGAGTTCCTCCTGGGGACCAGGCCTTGAATCCAAGAAGGAAATATTTGATTGCCCCCATAACATTCACACTACTATTGCAACAATACGATGGGCTCAGACACAGCCCCTCCCTCTCCTCCTCAGTGTTCACAGGCAGTTATGGTGTTCTTCCAAAGGATGGAGAGCCGTTTACCTTGTGAGAACACTTACTCAGACAGCTAGATAAATCGTATAACATTTAGTTGTTTATATGCAGTGGAAGCAGCATGAGTTACATGAACGCGAAGTCTAGTGTAAAAGAAAAAGAATCGGGAACAGTAACATCACAAACATCAAAGCTTCAGGTTCAAAGTAAAACAAAAATAACTTACTATGGTTAGTTGAAAACTAGAACGTTTAAAATAAAATTTAACATAAATTGTCATTACTCATTTTGTGGTAGCACTGATGCAATGACTTTCTATTTTCAGCAAATTATGAATATCATTCTCATTGTTGTTTTGACATTATTTTTGATCAAAGGAAAGGAAGCATTCAAAGCTAACTAGCCTTAAATGATGTTTTATATTTTTTGTATGTGAATAATAAATGACTTTATTTTCTATTCTTGGCCTGGTTCCTTCGAACTATCTGCTGATTAGCTAGCCAATTTATCTCTGTGAGCTCTATCCCCTCTTTAGGATAGTTTCCATGACTTCCTCCAGGAGAGGTAGTCTTTAGGGCTTCAATTCTAGGAAAACTTGAGTTGTAGGCTTGAGAAGTTACATTACTTCAAGCCCACATGCATGTGTATGTATTTTTAATAACTGCATACTGTTTTCCCGATAAATGATGAGTTACTTTTTAGTATCCTTTTTGATAAGTCAAAGACAGTATGTTTGAAATGTTGATTGCTATTGGCAAATAGTGCTCCAGACCTTTTGGTCAGTGTCAGTGGTCTATGGGAATTCCCTTTCTGCTTCCAGCAGTAGGGCTCAACAAAATGTGAATATTTGGGGCAGGCTGATGAGAGATAGTATCTTGTACTTTTCATTTGTACATTTTACATTGCAAATAAATTGATTGTCTCTTCATATATTTACCAACAATTTATACTTATTTTCTTGATGATGAGCCATTTGGATCTATTTACCATCTTCCTGTTGCAGTCTCATTTTTTTCTTATTCATAGATTGGGGCTTAATAAGGAGGAAAGGGCTTTGTCACTTGTATAGTAAGTGTGTTTGGGGGTCTTTCATCTTGGCTTATCCAGTGAGATTAACCATCTGAAGCTTTACCTTTTTATGTAATTAAATTAATTGATCAGTGTTACTTTTTATAGACTTAGTTTGGTCTCTCTCCATAATTATACTGTGTTTACTCATGCATTCTTCTAGAATATTTATTGTCTTGTAAAGATTGAAAGATTCATACACTTCAGAAGTCTAATTGGCAAACTTGACCTAAAAGTAAAATATATGAAGTACTTTAATATATCCTCTCATTGTAAAAGGTAATATATTACGTGTGTGTATGTAATATGTGTATGTACCCAAAAGATAGATGGCTGGTAACTAGTGACATTCCCTAAAAGACCACCGCTCTTTACTTTAGTGACCAGTAACAATATCAACTGTGACCACTTTATAACGTATCTTGAGAGACACTATGGTTATTTACAAGAAAGACTATCTAGGAGTTGGAAAGATGGGTAAGTGGTTGAGAGCACTAGCAGCTCTTCCAGAGGACACAGATTTAATCCCCAACCCTCACACGGAAGCTTACAAAAACTGTAACTATAGTTTTGGGGGATTCTGTGGGCACCAGACATGCACGTGGTACACAGACATCCATGCAGGCAAAATACCCATACATATAAAATAAAAATAAATCTTTATAAAAGAGAAAAACTATTTTAAAATGGTATGGTTCAGGGTTGTTTTTTAAGTCAGGTGTGTTTCTAGCAGGCAAAGTATTTAAAAAACATTTTCCTTTCATATTTACCTCAAAGGTCTTTCTTTCCACTCTTCCTGTTTTTCCTTCCCCTGTTCCCTGATTTCTAAATCACCTCAGCGGTGTTTGTGTTTCCTTTGCTTGTTTGAAGATGTTATCCATGATTCCTATTCTTCATTTGCTAACAGTGTTTAAGGATATGTGTAATAAACCTGTAGCACGGCTACCTCGGATGCATCTTTGGGAAGGCAGTTATTGATGACTAGATAATTTGTTGGTAGTTTCAAAAGCATTTTTTTTGTCTCAGGTTGTGAGTGAAGCATTTTAAATAATTGAAGTGATTTATTGGGTGTTAAATATACTGTATAATCAGAAGGCTCATGCCATGGATGGAAGTTTTGCCGCAGGAATCCTTATGACTGTATTTTTCTATTACCCAGGTTCACTTCGATGGCTGGAGCAGTTGCTATGACTACTGGATAGACGCAGACTCTCCAGATATTCACCCTGTAGGCTGGTGTTCCAAGACTGGACACCCTCTTCAGGCTCCCCTAAGTAAGATACACATAGATAGCTGTGATCAACGTTTTCATTTTTCTGAATAATGTGCTTAAGCTTTTGTCTTCTCTTTCTCCATTTCTGTTTCTCCATATATTTCTTCTCTTTTGATTTGCCAACAGCATGTATGTGTGCTCTCTCTCTCTCTCTCTCTCTCTCTCTCTCTCTCTCTCTTTCTATCTCTCTCTCTCTCTCTCTCACACACACACACACACACACATACACACACACATACAACAAAAATTATAAAAGAAAAATCATATTGCCTAAATAAGTAAGGTGTGCTGGTTTGAGTTTCATTTAGAAATAAACATAGCCTTTTACAATTAGTGCCAATTTTTAGAAGATAATTTGTCAGACTATTAAAATTTCAGTATCCCAATAGGGACCTGATACTGTACCCTTGAAAATGTTACCATTGGCAGAAACTGGTAAAAGTATAAAAGAGGACACCCTCTGCCTTGTGATTTATTCTATGCCCAGATTTTTAGTTCACTCAATAAAGACTCAAATTCAGTTCAATAAAAAAGCATACACAGAGAGAGAGAGAGACAGACAGACAGAGGGAGATATCATGTTCTCAATCTTAAAGAATATATACTTCGTATGAGAAAATACAAGAAATGCAATATACTACAGTCAGTTTTTAAAAAATAATTAATATTCTTTCCTTATGAGTATCTTTACTCATGTGAGCTATATGTAGACTGAGGGTGCATAGCCATCCATGTGCATATTTCTAATAGAAGAATGTCTAAAGTAACAAAGTTGGAAGCAAGTGTTAGTTAAATAAACTATGGCATATAGTTTTGTTTTTTTTTTTTTTTTGGTTTTTCGAGACAGGGTTTCTCTGTGTAGCTTTGCGCCTTTCCTGGAACTCGCTTTGGAGACCAGGCTGGCCTCGAACTCACAGAGATCCGCCTGGCTCTGCCTCCCAAGTGCTGGGATTAAAGGCGTGCGCCACCACCGCCTGGCTGCATATAGTTTTTATAGAAAGCGTAGTCATGAAGAATATTACTATTATAAAATGTGAAAGTCAAGTCCAAAACCAGATGAGACTATTTTAGATACACATTTGTATTGTTCCTTTTATGAAGCAAAATGAAAATCCTAAACTTGATACAGTTGTACATCGGAATGTTGGAGCCATAGCCAGGAGGGCATTCATCTGCATTGGTGGATGACAGAGAATCTGAAATATAGAAGAGCTGTTGATGTTGGTAACTGTTCCTCTGCATTCCAGCCCTGGCCACTCAGTTGGCTGAAGTGGTTCCAACATGGTGTTTCAATTTTATTCTACGATCTAGTGTTTGAATTTTTCACATTGAACATTCTTATGCAATTTTTTATTTGATAACAGTTCTTTCAAATATTCCTGTCAAGTCAGATTTAAATATCTCTGTTGTGTGACGTTTTAAAATAAGGTTAGATCAAAATTTACCATTTCAGTATTAAAGAAATATAAACTTTGTGACAGAATGAACCATGGAGAATATTTTTAAAAATAGAGATGTTAAAAAAAATTAAATTTTTATAAGAACTACTTGTTTTTCTACATGTATGCATGTAGAAAATGGTTCCAGAAATGGAGTATTTTTTCTCTGCCCTATTCTCATCCTAGACATTCAGATCTTTAGCTTTCTGCTCAACTTCTTGTTGAATTTTTCTTTTTTACCTTATCTTTTTATTATTTTTGTTGTAGGCCCTGCAGAATTGATGGAGCCATCCGAAACCGGGGGATGTCCAACTCTAGGCTGCAAAGGGGTTGGTCATTTTAAAAAATCGCGGTACCTGGGCAATCAGAGGTACGTACTTGCCACTACTTCCATGGGGACTTTTGTGCATGCTTGTTTAAAAGGTGCCTAACTGTGAATGTAGAAGATGATTTTCTTCTATAAGAAACAGATGTGAACTGATTTTATATTCAGAGCCATAAGAAGTGTGGTTACCATGGAGACTGTAAAAATGAAGGCTATATCTAAAGTTAAATCTTCCTGAGAGAACATTCATTCACTGTTTAAAATAGATTTACTTTAGCTATTTGGTGTTTTTTGTTTGTTTGTTTGTTTTTTAAGCTTGGCTAGTTTTACAGATCCATGGCTTCTAAAATAGTTATTTGAAGGTTACCGTTAATGAAGGCAGGTCCTGTTGAAATTATTGAATGGAATAATAATATGGGTGGGTGACTTTACAGTTTGAATAAGAAGATGAGATATTGTAGATTAGCAATGAACATCACAAAACAATACAACCAAATGTGGGATTTAGTGGTCAGAAAAGTGATTTTTTTCCCAATATTTTTTTTAATTGTAAGAAACTTCAAAAAACCCAAAAATACAATAAAAATTTGATGTTCAGGTGATTTGGGGATCTTCATAAACATTTAAAAATATTACTGAAATAAATTCTTATGATTTAGTGGGATTTCTAAGGGACAAAAGCATCACCTATTTGAATATGTATTAACATGGTAATAATTATCAGTGTAAGTTACAGAAACATGCTAATTGTATTACTCATTGGGAAAATTATCTCATATCTAGTTTGTATAGGGTTATGAGTCTGGTTCTTTAAATTTTTGAAATTATAGGTCAGTGAAATGGCTTAGTGTGTAAGGGCCACTAAGCCTGGCAACCTGAGTTCCATCTGGAATCCATATGGTAGAAAGAGAGAAACAGCCCAGAAAGCTCTCCCCTGACCTCCACACATGCTATGGCCCCTGTGGACCCTCTCTGTAACAATAAAGACATTCAGAAATATTGCTACCTATTCTTCTAAGAAAGGGTTAATGAGACTTGCAAAATTGGTGTATTATTTTCACCTGGGTGCAGTGAGAACCGCCCCCCCCATCTCTTTGCATCCACAAGTGTTGCTTATCTTCCTTTTTTTTTTTTTTTTTTTTTTTTTTGTTTGTTTCTCTGATGTTCATTGTGTTCCAGAATAAAAAGTGCACAGAGACAGGGTGATGATTCCGTTTGCAGATACCCATTTTTAAACCCTTTGTGCCACTCATATGGCTGCAAACCAAAGATAGAGCATTAATTTAAGCTCTACTGAAGACACTGCATTGTAGGAGTTATTAGCTGTATCTCATGAAGGCGGCTGGATCACTCTTCAGCTAATAGATCAGTCCAAGTGCAAGACTTACTTCCTAAATCGAAAGTCTGTTGTTCAGTGGTTTCTTTTGAAAAACAGTTTTCTTTTTTTTTGTTTTTTCAATCAGAACGTGTAACATTTATCAAGCATTTGCCTACTTTGTGTTCTGTTGCTTAATGTGAATGGGCTGGCTTTCAGAACAACACTGGTATAGAGGAACTTCTTTTCCCACCAGCTGTGGTGAGCCCAAGTCTAGTGTTCCATAGGCATGATAACTTGTCTTCTCTTGCCACTGGTGAGGGGAGCTGCAGGCTCTGGTCTTGACCTTTGCCATCTCACCACCCCTCAGAGCACTGCTCCATGACTCGGTCTCATACCCAGGCTCTCCACTCAACACTGCATCATTTCAAGTATAAGATACAAAATCATAACTAAAATGAGGATCTTTGGCTCATCTACATTGCTACTGTACAGTCTCGTGATGTTCATTAGACTAAAGGCAATTTCCTCAAATTAAAAGAACCGAGAAAGTTTTAAATTGGTTAAATACTGGCGTGTTGTTAGGATCCAGTTGGCTATTTAAAATTTGCATTTAGCTCTGGAAGGAAACCCACCATACAGCACTGTGCATACTGAATATCTCTAGAGATGAGAATACCACACCATGTGCATAGGCTCGTAGACTCATTAGGTCCAAGTAGGACAGTTTGTGGCAGCGAAGTCTGTAGTGACAACCACGTCACATCACTAGTCCCTCGTCAGGACGGCCTTTACCCTTAGATTCCTTCAGCCCAGCTGCTCCCACAATCTCGTGGTTGTCTTTGGGGAGTTTCTTGATAGATTGGATATGACAGGTGGTATTGTGTTTGTTGCTAGAAGGGGTAAATGATGGGAAGACTCAGAGAATAACTTATGCAGAAATGTGGTAAGGAAACTTGGAGTAATTGGAACCATGCTTGAGAACTGCTCGTTTTCTTGAAGGAGTGGCAGAGTATACTTTATGACTGAAAAGACAAGGCTTGACCAAAAAACTATACTGGTTTTCTTGTGCATGCAGGGCATGGCTCCTGCGGTCTCTGTCTTGTGCAGAGTTGGTGGGCTGGGTCTCTGGACAGAAGAATAAAACTGTGAGAACTAACGGCATGGTCCAGGTTCTGCTCTTCACCCTTCCCAGCCTGTGCACAGGTTTTCTACACTCCTTGTGCAGTCTGTATAATTTACAATGCTCCACGCTGTCTTCTTGGCAGGACATTAATCCTTAGCGGGCCCAGCCTGTTTTCCATCTCATCAGTACACTTGTGGATTAGCTTGCTGCATCATACATATTCCCTGAAAGGTTCATTTCACTGGCAATTATTTCTGTCCTTGCTGAGAATGCTGTGCTTAGGAAAACATAATGAGAAAATTCTCTTTGGATTAATTTACTGGGAAACTGAATAAATCAAAACATACATTCTTTACATAGATAACAAAGAAGGTTGCTCTTTCAGTAAGGATAGTTTTATGAACACATAAGCAAAAGACTGTAGTTTGGCTAGCATTTGCTTATGACTGTCTCTGAAGATTACAAATTATGTTTGATCTCAGAAACGTTAGAAGCAGAGTATGCATTTGGTAACACAGTTTGAGGATGCAACCTTTCTTTAATGTGAAATGTGATTAGTGAGAGTTGGATATGTGGTGCGGTATTCTCATCTCTAGAGATATTCCATAGTCAGCTTGCTTAATTCTGATTCCAGAAGAAAGTGTAAATAGGAGTTATAGTTGGCATTCTTTAGTTGTTTCACTCTTGGCTTACTCAGAGGTCTGAGAATGGGAAAAACCCACTTGAGGTTAAGGGAGCTGAAGTTACATAAAAGTAGGTATTCTACATATTTATTGCCTTCAGAAGTACATCTTTGATATATAAAATGTGATCTTTTAGAAATTAAACAAGGGAACATTTATTTCCTCCAGTCTCCAAAGAATATTTTTGAAATCCATGGAGTGTTTTGCAAATTAATAACCGTGGCCGCACATCTGAAAACTGGTTTTCATTCAGCATCCATCCACCTAACTCTCATATACTGTTGAGTGCCTGCTTGGGGCCAGCTGGCTTTGGTGACTGCACAGAAGACGGGCCCTATATCTGAGGCAGTAGGAATGGTAGTACTCAGTAAAGCATTAGCTATTTCTGAAGGGAATAGAGCCCTCCTAAATATGTCTTATGGAGTTTTTCATATCACTGTTTACTTTTACTGATTTTTTTCCTGACACAGTGCAGGTCAAATACCTCGTTTGTAAGGTAAAAATAATGTGCGGGATATATTTGTCTTCCTCTCTCATAGCCACTGTTCTAAGCCTGTGTGTAGGAGCACATTTAATCCTTTCTGCAAGTCTATGGGTTGAGCACCACTTATAGATGGTGAGGAAAAGTACAACTTACACGGTTGAGTAAGTGCCCTGGACGGTACTCTGATAGAAGCAGAACTCAATCCAGCCCAGAATGGCCTTTATTTCTCTTCTCCCATCAGGCCCCTGTCCAGAGTCACCTGATACAGCCTGTCCTGGGTGTTTGTCAGTATTGTGTGTGAGAGTAACTATGTGGATGCTTAAACTCAATGTGTTGCCTAATTGTTTAAGCATGGCAAGTTATAACTAAGAGGGATTTTAGCATGGCAGTGGATAGCAGAGGACAAGGCAGCCCTTTTACTTACAAACAGCCTCCTGAGAGGCTCTGGGGGCAAATATTTGTCAAGTGGCTGGTGTACAGTGATTTGCTAATATTTTTACCATAATAAAGTCATTTTAGGGAAGGGTCTCACAGGATTTGTACTGTTCTTTCCTGAAAGGACTTTATTTGGATGGTAACTGGAGGGGAGAAAGAGTGAAGGAGGAAAAGGAGGAGGGAAGAAAGGAAGGAGGAAAAGAGGGAGAGAGAAGGAATGAGCATGAGAGAAAATGAACACCCATGATGGAATGCAAACACACTAATAAATCAAACCTTACTAAAATTTAGTCGCTAAATACATTAGGTGAAAAACTAGAAATTTTTCATTGTAAGGCCAATGAGAATCTGCTCTTTCCATAGAAGTTAATAAACCCTGAGGGGTTTTCCAATTTCAAAATGTTACTAAATTGGAACTGTACCCGCAATGGGTGGTTCACAACTGCCTATAACCACAGCTCTGGGGCAGCTCATGCCTCTAGTCTCTGTAGGCACCCGTACTCACATGTGCATATCCCAATACACACACACACACACACACACACACACACACACACACACACACACACACACACGCAGATTAAAAATAAATCTTATTTAGAAATGTAGGTTTATTTTTGGTTGTGAGCCTAGCCTTTAGCTGGGCAGTGGTGGAGCACGCCTTTAATCCCAGCATTCGGGAGGCAGAGCCAGGCGGATCTCTGTGAGTTCAAGGCCAGCCTGGGCTACAGCACCAGGACAGGCACCAAAGCTACACAGAGAAACCCTGTCTCAAAAAACAAACAAACAAAAAAGCAAAAAGAAAAAACAACAACAACAAGAAAAACGCATAGCTTTGTATTAATGCAACAGAAGAAACGTTGACTAGAACACTTAGTGGTCATGATGGTGATGAGAATCCTGCCTATCTTTTGTTCCTTTAAACAACAGGCATGGTAGTGATCTCAAGTCCTTGACCAAGTGGTTAATTATGAGTTTCACTGTAACTCATATCCCAAGGGGTAGATAATGGGAGACAAGATAGGAGAAAACTCTTACATCTGTATCTTGGCTTGCCTTGAAAGGCAGCAGGTAAGCCTTAGGATCTTGAAACGGTATTTTACCTTTCTCCGCCAATGTCTTCATGTGTAACCTAGGTGACGATGGCATTCATAGGCATGGTGTGATGAAAGAATTAATTCATGTAAAGGACTTGGAACCCTGCCCAGCACCGAGAAAGTTGCAACACATAGAGCTGCGTGCACTGTAAGAGGTGGGCAGCCGCAGTGCTTTGATGGTGCTTTCAGATCCATGTCATTGCCGCGGATTATGAATAAGGAAATTCTTCCATAACACCGGCTAATATTTACTCATATTGTGTAGCCATTAAACAGGAGCCAGTGTTTATGATGGAACTCCACCGAGAACTGTGTGACGCTCTACAAGTCCGCTTTGAAGCCTCATTTTTTTTGTATCTGGCAAGTGAGCGCTCTCTTGGAGCTGCTTCCATGACGGTGGGGATGAATGCCAGGCAAGGAGATTGTTCACCTGGGGAAGGCATGCTCACCTGTGTTGGCATCATCATTTTGAAATGACAACTCAGCCTCAGTAACTGTGCTTGCTCATCACCGTGCGTGGATGAGGCACCAGAGCACTTCGCCAGGCACCCTGGTTCTACCTGAAGCATTTCTCCTTCTGCCGTTACAGTGGCTCTCTGCTGTGTCTTGTCGCATCCTCTTTAAGTCGTCACCTCCAACTTCAGGAGCCAGCTGGCATTCTTCTCCACCCTGTGCGGGTGTAAGCATGAGGGTTCCTCAGGGTTGGAAGGAAGAGAGAGGCTTGGCGCACATCTGTGGCTGACCATCACATGGTCCCCTTGATAGGGCAGATTTCCTCGCTCATTAGGGCCTTTCTTCAGAAGGCCAGGATCGTTCCTCTTTCAATTGAAAGGTTGAAAGAGCTAGGGCAATCTGTTTTCAAAAGAAAAACAAAACAAAAAACTCACAGGCATTTAGACAGCAAGGCTCCTGACCACCATCTTGCCTTTCTCTGAACTGGCCTCAAGTGTTTCGTTTAGTCAACAACAAAAGCAAAAGGCTGTTTTCACAGAGCTTGAACACAATTGTCTGCTTTGTAACTGGTGTTTCACTGGGGACCTAGGCCATCCAAAATTCCTCCATGGCTTCCCATTGTTTAAAGCTGGTGGTGTGTCCTTCAACCCTGATGCCGTCCAAAGTAAATACACACACTGTAGTTCGCTGCTTGTTCAGCCAGGATCTTAAGGGTGAATGGAGTTGAACTGTACGTATGTGGCTGCTGGATTAGCACTATACTCTCTGTCTAAAGAAACCAAAACATTATCTTTGGATTTTTTCTTTTGTTGCTAAAAATTGAAGTACATAAGTTCAGTGAAAAACATGCACTAGAGAGAATGGCCTAACAGGGCATCAGAGACGACTGGGATCATCTTAATTCCTTTGGACCAACTTAATTCCTTTGTCAGAGCAGAGGCTTGAGCTTGGGAGGAACTGGTTACATGTAATTTTTGATGGTCATAGGGAGCTTCATTGAAGATGGTAAATTGTGAGGTGAGCCTCAGCTATCTGAATAGGCTGTCAGTGCACATTTGTACCCTGCCTGCACTGAAGGTCAGCATTGAGGAAAGTGTTGTCCCGTAAGGTAGCCACGTGGCAGGCAGCACAGCACGTTTGCTTCCTTGGCAGGTACAGGGTAGCTGAGGACCCAAGCTCCCACACAATGCTGCGGTCTGGGCTTCCTGTCTTGAGGAATGGAGCGCAGGCAGGTCAGGCTTTGTGTTTGTAGTCTCTGTGAAACTGAGCAATGTGACAGGACCCCAAGGTAGGAGACAGGCTAAGAGTGGCACGTGTATGCTGTCCCCAGCAACCTCATCCCATGGAGATAGTCCCTAAGGGGTTATGTTGTTCTGGATATTGCATCCTGCCCACACCTGGCTGTCTGCCTTCTGACTTAGCTACTAGTTGCCTCCTTCAAAGTCTCTGTTCGAATTAGGCAGAACTAGTTTTGGTAATTTGTACCCATGAACTGTGGATTAGTTCAGGCATCCCAAGCAGGATCCCATGCAGTGTTTGAATGGCTGAGGTGGTTAGATTTTCCTTCATAGCGTGACTGACTGAAGTAGCATGCCTGCTAATAAACAAGCAGACACAATTTGCTGAGCTATTTCATTGCTGTGTGACCTCAGGCAAATAGCGTTTTTATTTACATGCCTGATAATAAACTTTCCATAATTATCGGCTTGCTCCACATTTACTTCCCACCAGCCATTCTTATCTCAAATGGTGTCTCTTTTGCCTCCAGTTCTTCAAACCACAAACCAATAAGCGCATCTCCATCCCTGTATATCACAGACTGTCTTGGGCTGCAGGGCATCGTGGGTTGGCAGAAGATTCTGACCATCCTCTAACCTGCCCTGCGTTTCCATCACAACACCCAAGTCAATCCCTATCACTTCCCGTGTTTAGAGATTTCCCAAGGGCTTCAAACTGGACCCGAAATAAAACTTGGAACTACTGACTATGGTCTAGTGAGCCATGCGTGATCCTGCCTCTCCCTGCATCCCCTGCTTCCTGTGATCTTGACTTCTAGCCAGGCTAGCCTCACTCTCCTGCCCATGTGTTGTACTGCTTCCTCCTAAGTGTGTGTGAGCAATTTTGTCCTGACCTTTAGGGATTTGTTCTCTCTAGGGAAGCCCTTCCTCACTGCCAGTCAGAGCATCCTCATGTCCTCCCTAATAGCACACTCTTACTTTCTTTATAGAAGCCATTCCAGTGTAAAGTTCCGTAACTTATTTGTGTGATTAGGCATTGCCCATCTTCCCCCAGATCAGCAGTTCTCAATCTGTGGGCCATGGCCCTCTTGGGGGGGGGGTCAAATGACCCTTTCACAGGAGCTGCCTAAGACCATAGGAAAACAAATATTTACTATTCATAACAGTGGCAAAGTTACAGTTAAGAAGTGGCAACACATAATTTTGTGGTTGAGGGTCACCATAACATGACCTGTATTAAAGGGTCACAGCATTGGGAAGGTTGAGAACCACCGCCCTAAACTACCACTCATTTAGGCCAGAATTTTCACCTCCTCACTTTTTATTATGTTCCTAATGCCTAGAAAGGTGGTTAACACAAAAGGGACTTAATTGATAAATACTTGCTGATAATGAGAAAAAGACTGAAGTTGCTTAACCATTTGAAAAACCTAGTGTGTCATATGAAATGTCTTTTTTATAGATTAATGCAGTGTGTATAAGCACAGCACAGTGCTTAATATATTGTATGTGCTCCATAAAGATTTCCATCAATTGTGTTTTGGTTTTTTTGGTTGTTGTTGGATAGACATTATATAAATTTATGTCAGTGTGTGATTAGGTGTTACTACTTTTGCTTAAAGAACAAGTGTAGAGCAGCATGTACTTCCTAAAGTTTGCAGTTTTGCTTACGAGATACCTGAGATAAATTTTACGTCACTCCTAGAGTTACCAGGGAGCATTTCTTTTTCTCTTTTCCCTTGGCTTCTCTTGGTAGAAAATACATATGCGCTGTTTAAAAAGTTCCCTTGGGTGATGGTTAATATTCTCACTGTCATAGAAACTAAAGAAGAGAACACACATGATACCTGTATAATGTATCTCATGTCCAAATGGTTTCCAGACTTAAGAAGGTCTCTCAAAGCCGAGGGGCAAGATGTGTAGTCAACTGGGGAGCTTGGTGCTTATTGGAAGCCTGGTACCCAGATGTTCTCGAGACAGGAATGCTAAGACCCAGGCCAGGTATCTGCTAGCTAATGCCAAGTTAATACTCAATGACCCCAACTTCCTCTGCCTAGGTAATGGGAGTTATCACCACATGAGACCTCAGAGTATAACCTCTAAGGGCAGAGAGAGATGGTTGGCCTGTGGCCCCTTTTCATACCAACATTAGAATTAGCTCCAAACCATTTGTGTGTTCTCTGGGAAATCAGCTGTAACTATAGTCCCAGAAATAGTAGTGTTCCTGAGGACATTGAAAGTTACTAAATGTTATAGGGGAAATTAAGTAGTTATGACTATCCCAAGCATGGGTATTTCTTATGGCTGGTTATTCCCAGACATATGCATAGGCCTTACCCATAAGAAGTACAGAAGGGATCCTCTGGATGCTCTGACTCTTGCTCCATTCAGAGGTTGCAGCAGACTGCTTCGAGTCAGATATGTTCACTAGTGGAATGAACTTAAATTATCTGTAAAGACATATTTTATGGCCGTATGTCTACTCATGCATTTATGCACATACGTATATAACATGCTTGGTTCAGTGTTGGAATCTTACATTCACTAGCCTACAATTTTAATTGTATAATTACGATCTAATGGGAGTGTACTTTTCTCTTCTTTTGATCTGTTAGTGGTGCCTACTGTCCCTATTCAGAAATCAACTTGAATAAAGAACGGATTTTTCCAGACCGCCTAAGTGGTGAGATGCCTCCATCGAGTCCATCATATCCAAGGAGTAGAAGGATAGACTCAAATGACAGCTCATCATCTCCTGAAACCAGGTAATTAAAGGGACGATGCTTACATTGTCCAGAAGCACTCTCATTGAACAGATGACCGTCTTGCATGCTTTATGTTTTTTTGTTGTTGTTGTTGTTTTTTGGTTTTTTTTTTTTTTTTGGTTTTTCGAGACAGGGTTTCTCTGTGTAGCTTTGCGCCTTTCCTGGAACTCGCTTTGGAGACCAGGCTGGCCTCGAACTCACAGAGATCCGCCTGCCTCTGCCTCCCGAGTGCTGGGATTAAAGGCGTGCGCCACCACCGCCCGGCATGCTTTATGTTTTGTGGCAGTGTTTTCCTGTTAGATATTTTCCGTTAGAAATGCCAGGTTGGTATGCGCTCCCAGAATCCTAGCACTTGGGAGGTAGAGACAGGAGGAGAACCAGGAACTCAGGAAATGCACTACACAGTTTAAGGTTAGCCTGACCTACATGAGACCCTGCCTCAAACACAAAACAAAACAGCGCTTCTTCTACAGTGAACAACAGTGGAGATCCATTCTTGGAACGGCCCTAAGATCAGTCCTAACATAGTTGACCAAGAGGTCAAAGAGTCTTTCCACCTCCCTAAGATCCTTAAATCCTTCACTGAACTTGGCTGAGATAGCATGCACCAGACCACTGTCGAGGCTAAAGCAGGAGGATTGCTTAGTTCAAGATCAGTCCGAGTGACAGAGGGAGATTGCATGCCAAATAAAGAAATAAGTAAACCAGTTCAACCCCGAGGTGAATGTGACTCAAGGCTGGAAGCTGTTTCTCGAGGAAATAGAGAGGATCTACTTTTTCGCTGATGTGTTTCCCTCTTTTAAGAGAACTGTGAAGCTATTCTAAAACTCATATTGTTATGTTTTCAATTGTGGGTATGTGCATTATAATAATTTCAGTGTGTCTTGTCTGTTTCATAAGCCTGGTTGAGCATCCCTTATCCAAACACTTGGGATCAGGATGTTTCAAATTTTGAGATTTTTAAAAATGTTACATTGGCCTAAACTTTACAAATTGAGTATTTTTTAATCTGAAATCCTCTAAGAAACACTCAAGAAATTTCTGCTTTGGACACATTTTAGATTTTGGGATTAGAATTATTCAACCAAAAAATACTTTTTTTAAAAGAAAGAAATATTCAACCCATATTTCCTTTATTTCCTAAGAGTAAGCGCAGTAATATTCCTGGGCTATGTGGAATAGATTGCTTAAATAAGATGATTTTTTTCATAATGTCCATGTTCTATTTTCTTCCCGTGATCGCTGCTCACCTCACATGCTTAGCAAATTTCCTGTATGTCAGTTTTTAATTTGTTAAAGTTTAGCTGCCATTCTGTACTTCTTAGATAATTTGCACTCCCAGAGGCAAGCTGTGAGGTGGATTTGATTGTAAGTGGCTTATTTGTGAGGTGCAGAAAACATCGGGAGGGGGCTAGAAGGGAAGCAGAAGGGGAGACAATCAGAAGCAGCTTATCTGTCATACCAGTTCCTGCTGCAGGCAGCATGGCGCAGACCTGCTGGGAATATTCTGTGAAGTGTGTAAACCACACATTTCAGAGCCTGCCTTGGGCAGAGGCAGGGGAGTAGAACTATTCACACAGCAATTTCATTCCGAGTCCTCCAGATGAAGAAAGTAAACTCCAGGCCTGTGTGTGCCGAAGAGGCTGCTAGTGGCCTGGGATGTGTGTAGCTAAGGGCTGATAGGCACTACTGTGCCAGCTCTGTACCCATTTACCTGTCCCAGATGCCAGCTAGTCCCCAAGTGAGTGAGGTGCTGGGATGACTTTTGGTTCAGGGGTTAATCTAACAGGCAAGATCAAATGAATAGTACAAGTCACATGTCTATCCTTTCCTGCCTTGGCACTACTCTACCTGACTTAGGCTTATGGGTAACTGAGAACTCTACGGCAGCAGTGTCCAAACTGCTGTGTGTCTGATGCTCTGTGGTGTCCTTCAAGTTTAGGTTTAGGACCTGCACCTGCCCACAGAACCTTGATGTCTGAATTTTAAAAGTGCTTCTGATACTAAAAACCCCCCTTCTTAAAACTGTCAGTGACTTCCTGGTACTTGGCATTGAGACCTTAGTTCCCAGTGTAGCTCAAATAGAGTCCTGCATTCCTTCCAACTCTGCCAGACTCTTTCCTCAAGCCGCGACTTCAGGCATCTTTCTCTTTGCAGAGAACCTGAATCCCTGCTCATTAACATCCCCCTCCTGCCCTCCAAGAAGCTCTTCTTGGCCCTCCAGCCTGTGGGATCAGGCCACCATGTGTTTCCACATCTCCTTACACTACGTTTTGAAAGACTTTCTTGGAGTCTTCGTGCTTTGCTTTATAAGCTCTATCATGGTAGAGGCCATGCCTCTCTTCATTTCCCTCAGCATGGAATATACTTACATTGCTAGGATGTAAATGATTCGAATCAGCGATCCTTTTTCAAAGGAGAAATGCTAGGTATATGACCTAAGAGACAACCGTTCTGTAGCTTTCTCTCTATTTACCTACAAGTCCTACATTCTTACCTTTGTAAGAGTGCCACACCAGATGTTTAAGATGTCATTACGAAATGATGACGTAGAGTTTCCAAATACAGACTGGTACTCTTGTAAATTAGGATGAGACTATCTTATTTGTTGTTTACCGTCCTGGCTTGCATAGATTAGGAAAGATACATGGACATCATGGTCTATTTGGCAAACCAAGGGCAGAGGTGAGCCTGCCTTCTAGTGACCAGAGAAAAAGGTTCAGACTATATCCTAGAGCTTTTTTATGCCTGAGATTCAGGGTATCCTCAAGTCTTCTCATTGGGTTCTGAATACTTGGGCCTGTTTTCTTTTAGAGGCTGGTCAAATGGGTGTGAACAATTCCCAGGGCATTCTAAGGAGAAATGGAAGTGTTCAGACAGTCCTTTTCCATCTACACCCTTATCCCATCTGTCACAAGTTTAGTGAGCATCTGCTGGGCTCAGTGCTTGCTGTGACATAATGTCTCCACTTTGGACAGTGCAGCTCATCACTACCCTCTCATTGCCCCTGGCTATAAGATGGCAGCTTCTCCTGGGGATGGATAGTTACATCTCCACATGTCTCCAGCCAAGTAAAAGAATGTGTATGTCTTTCTCCGTGTGTTTTAACAAAACTTGGGTCTGGAATTTTGATTTGCATCTAGGTTGCTTATGTAAAATGTGGCTTTTGACACAGGCAATTGGAAGGGACATCTCCAAAATCCTTCTGCTTGACAAACATTCCAAGGTGACAGGAGCAAGTGGTCTTTATGTTAGACTTTGGGAAAGACTATTGTTTGTAAGCACCCATTGGAAGGAACAGAAGGTATCCTCTCACATAGTCTTATTCCCATCAAGTCTGTCTGCATCTACTTGTATGTGCATCTAAATTAGACACTATCTCTATTAAAGATTCACTTAGTTGTTTAAGCCCCACACTGTCTAAACCTGCTTAGATATAACCACAGAAACACAATAAAGCATCTTTAAAATGCCTGGCAATTACTTGTATTACCTTGTAAGGCAAGTGCCCACTGCTAAACTTAATTTAATGAAACAATTCAGTCTGTGTGGTTCATTATAGGCTCTTCAAATGCCTTTTTATTTGTATGACCAATGCTTCTATTCTGAAAATTACATAGTGCTTGGTGTGAGAATTGCTGCCATCAATCTGGTTTATCTTTTTCACATGAACTCAATTTTGCCAGTCATACCAAGAGCCCATCTATATACCCTATTAAGCAGATGGGGAAATGAGCTAACATAAAGTGTGATGGTGTGTGTGTGTGTGTGTGTGTGTGTGTGTGTGTGTGTGTGCTTTGCAAAATGATCACACCAACCAGATCATTTTAATTAAAGCCAAACTCATAAATGTTTACAAAAGTTAATCAGCAGTCTTGGGGAACTCGGGTTTTCTGGTCCTGGGGGCCTGCTGTGGACTAGAGAGTCATCTCTCTGAGCATGCCTTTCCCAGCTTCCAGAGCCTGCCTCCTCTCCTCAGTAGACTTCCAGGTACACATTAGGAGCTGTTCAAGTGCTCAGGTTTCCCAGCTTTTGGGGATCTGAGTCTGGGCCTGTGTAGCTGCTGTGTGCACCAGAGAGAAGCGCTGTGTGAGTTAAACACTCACCATTCTGGTGCCAACCGCTGTGACACCAAGGCAACCATCGCAAGTGTAAGAAAAAGCGAGTGTCATTGCTAGATGGTGTGAAGCTGTCGGAACAATATTGTAACAGAGCTTATTTTATCTCTTGAATATCACTAATTCCTACTCAAGAGACTTTTCCATTTGGAACAATAACAACAACAACAAAAAAGCAGTAGCATCTGTTGTCTTTTCTACAGCAAGCCAGTCCTGAGGACTCAGTCTCCCTGTGAGAGTTCACCTTACTGAGCAAGCCAGTGCTGAGGACTCAGTCTCCCTGTGAGCTCACCTTACTGAGTAGAACTGTCATTATTTCATGGGGGGAATTGACTAGTGAATTGCTGGGTGCTTTTTTCTGGAGGCTTTCTCTTTGGCATCTCCATGATACCCTCTTGATACACTTGCTGTATTCCTTTTATTGTGCACCCTCTCTGACATGAGTTCTATATGTTAAATTGTAATTTTATAGCATTGGCGGTCTGAATGCTTCAGTTCTAGTCACCAGATAAAGACTAAGCCATGTTTACCTCTTCTAGATCTTGCTGATGGAGCCATGGTTAATTAAAACTCTTGCTGAGCTATTACCAAAGGAACTTAACTTTAAAACGTCCTTGTGCCAATGTGGACCCATAGGCATAAGAGGACACTGTTCCAGTCACCACCTGTTCCGAATCCCTTTGAAGGGGCACCCTCCCTGTTCTGAGGCTTGTCAAATGTCTACGTTTGTAGAAGATGTCTTGGATTCTTGACCTTTGATATTTTATCTATGAATGACTTCAGCGCAGAAGTTTTTAAAAGGTGCTAGTGGGTCCTACAAAGAGGTAACTTTTTGGCACTCAAAACCTACCGTTTGTATAGGTGCTTCACCCAAAGGCATGT